TCTTCAAAACCAAAGGAACCCACATCATTCAGCCCAGTAAGGTTTGTATGTAGGAAAAAACAAAACCAGTATCCTAGGTGAACAAGGGAAGGGAACAAGTTGGCTCTTTTTGGTTTTTGAAACAGTGTAGCCCTGGCTAGCCTGCAACTTGCTATTTAGACCAGGCTAGCCTGGATCCCTCAAGAGGCCTGCCTCTACCTCCTGAGTGCTAGGATGGAAGGTGTGGCTACCACACTAGATTTAAGTGAGGAATCCTTGGGAAAGACACCGGTATTTATCGGAAGCCAGGGATGGGTGATAAGAGGACAGTAGGCGAACAGAGGGAGGACTCTCTCAGGTGGCCCATTTGGAATAATGGTCAGCATGTACAGCGAACCTTTTCAAGTCAGGCATGACTACTTATGCCTGTAATTCCAGCACTTGGGGAGTAGAGGCAAGAGAACCAGGAATGTAATACCATCCTTAGCTACATAGGGAGTTTTAACTCAATCTGAGCTACTTAAAATCTTGTTTAAAAAAATAAGCAAGGTGATGGTGGTGTACACCTTTACTCCCAGCATTCTGGAGGCAGAGTCAGGTAGAACTCTGTGAGTTCTAGGCCAGGCTGGTCTATAGAGCTAGTTCCAGGACAGCTAGAGCTACACAGAGAACCCCTGTCTTGGAAAAAAAAACAAATAAAAATTAAAGTAAATAAATAATAAAGTGAACACATTTATCTGGGCAGCTGTCAACATGCCTGCAATCCTAATATTTTAGAGACTGAGGCAAGAAGATCACTGGAAGTTTTAGGTCAGTATGTTTTATATTAGCAGGTTCAGGCCAGTCAGGACTACTGACTCATAAAACTATACCTTGAAATAAAGACAGAAGCAAAAGCCAATGAACACTCCAAACAGAGCATTTCTTCAATGAGAATTAACACTTGTAAAGCACATCTATGTGGGCCAGGTATATAGCTCAGAGGTGGAATGCTTGTCTACCATGCACAAGGCTATAGGTTTGATTCCCAATGATGAAAAGAAAAAGAAAAAAAAAGTGTATCAAGATGTGTTTATGTGGGCTTTTTCTGTATCCCTCTTCAGAAGCCAAAATGAAAACAATAAAGCATCCAGAAACATCCCCTAAATGTTCATCAAGGAGTTAAGCGGCTAAGTGAGCTGTGGCCAATCTGTGACCAGGAGCATAGGAAGGGAAAGGCAGCTCTGTGCAGCCAGTGTGGCTGTTGGGAGCACAAAGGTCCTTGCACTCACAGATAAGCACTAAGGAAACCAGGAATGGTAAACATACAGGATTGTGTCTTCACTGGGAGAGACGTATAACCTGTTTTCCACCCAGAAGGCTAGGAATGGAGGTGGCTAATAACCTAGGTGATCTCTGTTCTATCTATATGGCCAGGGACTCCCCCAAACTCCCACACCAAGACCAAAGGTGACTTATAGCTCAGGTGACCTCCGTGCTATCTATATGACCAAGACCACACTAGACCCTCCTCTACGCCCTTAAGATAACACTAGTAGCCTATCTACAGAACCCACCTCATGGAAGAAGTGACTTGTACTTTGAGAAGAGTTTCTATGTAATTACACCTCCTTGTGCACATAGGATTGGTTTATACCGGGAACCTTTTTCCAAATTGGAATCATGTCGAGTCCTGCCAGCCAGCTCCCAAATGATACGGAGACATCTTAATTATGAAAGCTTGGCCTTAGCTTAGGCTTGTTTCTGACTAGCTCTTATAACTTAAATTAATCCATTTCTATTCATCTATGTGCTGCCACATGGCGTTTACCTCTCCTCCTGCATGTCCTGCTTCCCCTGTGTCCAGCTGATGACACCCCCTTTCTTCTTCCCTGAGACCTCTCTGTCCCCAGAAGTCACAACTAACCTCTTCCTGCCTAGCTATTAGCCATTCAGCTTTTTATTAAACCAATCACAGTGACACATCTTCACACAATGTAAAGGAATATTCCACAACAAAACAGAGGTATTTAAAGTTAAGCGCTGATTAAACAATACACACATATGCACACCATATAAATAAATATAATAAATATTAGGTGCTTACAGAAGCACTTACATTTACAAGGGAACTCTTGGCAGAGTCAAAGGAGCTAAGCTCTGACTCTATTTCTACCATTTTCTTGACTTCAGCAAGTGATATAAATGAAATGGGCCCTGGTTTTCCTCCTTTATCTAATGAATATGCGGGACATGAGTCCTGTGGTTATGGCACAAGGGAGCCACAAAATGCAGCTCTTAGTTAGCTTCTAAGACTCATAAAGAAGGCTCTAGATCCCTCTTCCACTCTTCTCCTGCTTTAATTTTCAACTCTATTAATTTTTCTCAACTCCTTTAACTTTTTCTCAAAATTAATACTAATTACCAATTTTATGCAAAATAATTAAGCTAGGCATATTGGCACATATCTGAAATCCCAGCATTCTGGGGCCAGAGGTAAGAGGATCTGGGTGCATTTGAGTATAGGATACATAGTAGGGGCTACACAGTGAATTTAAGGCCAGCCCGGGTTACATAGGGAGAACCAGTCTTAAAATAAATGAGATGAGCAAATTATTGCATGCCTTTTGTCTTAGCACTCTGGAGGTGGAGGCAGGCAAGGCTCTGTGAATTTGAAGCCAGTCTGGTCTACACAGTGAGATTCAGGCTGGCCAGAGCCACATGGTGAGACCCTGTCACAAAAAAAAAAAAAAAAAAAAAAAAAAAAAAAAACAGGGTCCGGAGAGATGTCTCATCAGTTAAGAGCATTGACTGACCTTCCAGAGGACCTGGGTTCAATTCTCAGCATCCACATGGCGGCTCACAGCTGCCTGTAACTCCAGTTCCTGGGGACTTGACGCCCTCACCCACACATTAAATGCAGACAAAACACCAAAAGCACACAAAATAAAAATAAAAAGCACAAATAAACAAATGAATAATGAAGCCTGCTGCCTTATGAAGACCTCAGGAGATGTTTATCATCAAAACTTCATTGGTATTCTCTGTGCATGGGAAAGAAAGGTTTGGGAAAGGCCCATCACCATCAGCACACCATCCAGCATAGCCACGGAGAGAAGGAAATAGCTTTTGGGCTTATGCATAGCCACCAGCTGTCCAGCTATTTCTCTGAGACCCTCCATCCACGCTCCAGAGAAAACGTGGTGGTGTATTAATCCCAAAGGAAATGTATCAGGTAGATGGGTTAGATTAAGCAGCCACAAACACTGCAGCACTTTTCTAAAACAGTTTGGTACTCACTGGAGGTAAGAGTCAAAGGAAAAAAGCAGCCAGGTGTTACTTGAGAAGCTGAGATGGGAGGACTTCCAGTTTAATTCCAGTCCGGCTATAGAGGAAGACCCTTGCCATAAAGAGAAAAGCTGGGGGGGGGGGAGTCAGGGGAGGGAAGCAAAACAGGGAGAAGGAAAAGAGGGAAGGTCAAGTCATCCCTCCATCTAGCACTGGGGGTTTTTTCAAGGCTGGCATAGAGCAGCTATGCAAGAGCTTTGGGGGTCCTAACGACAGGGCTGACTCCCTCCCTCTGCAGGCCTCACACTCCACAGGAAACTGCCATGGTAGATCTGCAAGAACCTGACACCCATCTGTCATTCCTTCAACTCTGGTGGAATCTTTAGTAGTTCTCAGCATTTTTCCGATTGTTATTACCACTTGTGTTTCTCCTCCTTCAAAGTACCTTTGCCCTGCTCCAGCCTGTGTGTGCCTGAGAGCAGCGTGCCCCACAAGGCTGGATTATAGGAAAAGTGCGGCCACTTCCACTAACTAGATCTTTTCCTAAGTCTCCGAAGAGTCTGGTTTTCTTGAGCAAGTAACCTGGCCATACAAAAAAAGGTGTAGGTATGCTGATGTGGAGGATAACGATGTATGTTAGCACTGAGATGAGGCAAGGTGGAGAATTCTGGGCTGTAGCCCCAGACATACCAGCATGTGGATATGACAGCTTCCTCCTCAATAGCCTAGTCTTTTCGCCTAGGGAATAAAAAAGCAATACAAACAAAAACGGGGTGGGGAAGGGGATCAAAAGTAAAGGACGGGAGAATAAAATAGACCAGAGATCTATCCAGGCAATAATGCCTAATTCTCGATGAGGACATTCTTTCCAGAAATCCAAGAGGGGGAAACAATCCTAAATAACAATCTCAAACTCACAATGACTCAAACCAAGAGTTCCTGTTTTCTGTGTCTGAAAAGCAAAAAAAAAGATAAGCCAGAAAAATACCATGCAAAGTCACATTGGGTACCAGAGTCCTGAGTGAATGGCACAGGGAAAACCCCTTCCCTCCCACAAAGACCAGAACCCTAGTTAGATTCTGTAAATTTCCGCTTGTCCATATCCAAGGACCTAGGCAAGTCCAGAAAACCATCCCGGTATCACTCCCAAATTTCACTCCCACCACCAGGAATTGGCTCAAAATTGGACTCTGAAAGCAACAAGAAAAAGAATTCAAAGTAATTAATTTGATTCTGGGCATAAATAATTCGATCACCATTGCCATAGTTTAGTGGAAAGGCCACGCCGACTTGTGGGAGTGGGCCCAGCTCCTGGAAGCGCCCCAGGCTCCACTCTCCCAAAGCGCCAAAGCAGGTACTCAGCGCAAAAACGCACAATGAGATTCAGGTGCGTCACACCACAAAGATCCTAGGCAGGGAGGAAGGTAGCTGTCCCTGTGGGTCCACATCCCCAAATGACCTAAACTGAAAGAAAGGGTTGACGCGGACCCCTGGCTCCCGGACCACGGGAGCCAAACAAGACAATAGAGCCATCAGAAGAAAATGACAGGAAGAGCTGGAGGAACCCAGATGTCCTAGATAGAGACCCGAGAGGGGTGCAGAAATAGAGCTGGAAGCGGCGCCGGGAGAAGGGGGCGTGGAGCGACTCCCGCCTCGGACATCCACGGTTACCCACTGCCTGCTTCCAGGCGCCGCAGCCACGGGGACAGCGTTCTCCCTCCGCCCGCCTGCCCTGCCGCTCCCACGTCCCGCACCGTGTTGTAGAACTCGGCGATGGCAGGCACGATGGTGTAGTTGTCCTCGCACCAATCCACCTCGGAGCTGCCAGCCCGCAGCTGGTCCCACCAGTGCGGGACGCCCATGGCCGCTCTGGAGCATCGGACTAGCTTCTCTGTAGCGGCGACCGGCCCGAGCGGCTGCGGGGCACACTGTGCGTCTGCCGCTTTATGCGGTGCGGGGCAGCCTCCGGATGCGGCGCCTCCCCGCGGGCCTCCCCTAGCCAGGCTGCTCCCGCCCGCTACAGCCGCTGCAGACCCGCCCCGGCCCCGCCCCCGGGAGGCCTGGAGCATGGCTGTCACGCCCACTCGGGGCGGGACCTGACAGGCAGAAAGCCCCGAAAGGGAGGGGGCTGGAAATGGGGGGGGGACTGGAAGCACTGGCTCTCTCCAGATCCGCGCTAGTGGCAAAGACCTTTTAGAGTGCTCTTCTCCGCATGCGACCAGGTTGTATCAAGAACGCCAGAGCTCGCAACCCCGCTCCGTAAAAATGTAAAATACGGAGAAATGCGAGGACCCCTTTGGACTCCTTGAGATTTCCCGGCAATCCGCTTGGCTGAGCTTGGGACACCGGTTCTTAAGCCTAAGGAAGGCTCACGTTCCTCTTGAAGGCGGGACAGCTCTACCAGGTGGCGACTCGCTGCTGTCACTGGGATAGAAAGATCCTCCAGGTTGTAGCAACAGGTTCTCTGGACCCTTCCAAGAAGCCTGGGCCACCCACTCCCCAGGGAAGCGTTTCTGCAGTACTTACTGTGTCCCTGCCATTATTTAGTCGTTTATGGAAAACATAGGCTTAGGGCAAGTCTTCTTACATCCCAGCCCACAGAGGATACAGTATAGCAGGTAAGAACACACAGTGTAGGGCATAATACATACATAATACTATAGTACACATAGTAATATGTGCCGGCCACTGTTGTGAAAGAGTCCGTATGTCTCCTATTAGGTGTCCCCGGCGGACAACCCGGGCAGTGGGTTAGAGCTAATCAAGTTCAGGCGGGATGACTTTGGATCTGCTCATATGGCTTTGCGTCTGTGATGACTCTGTAGTTTCTAAATACAAGCCCATTGGTTCCCAAGATCTTGGAGAAACCAATTTTATTCTTTTTTGGTGGCAACTCAGTGCCTTCTTCGTGGGAAGTTCCAGGTAAGGACAGTGGCAGAGAATCCCTGGACAGCAAACTACCCTGGTTGTTATTTCCTTCCTGGGAGGGACCTGCCTTCCCTCCTAACTGGAGTACCTGTAAGCAGTGAATCGTGTCTGTCTTCCACAGATACCTCCACAGCAGGCAGAAGCTTTGGCTCTCCACCAGGAAATCCAGTTTTATTTACAAGGGACCAAACCATCCCTCCTGTCTTCATCGTCCCACCTCTTGCCCCTTCTTTCTTTCCTAAAGCCCATCCCACTGTCTCCTGGAACCCGAGGAGGATCCACTACAGTCTTCTTCTAGGGTTAGTTATGGGCCAATAAGAGTGAGCAGGCCAGAGCCACTAAAGAAAAAGGTTCTGTTAATGTCTCCCTGCCAACGGTCCAGCAACAGAACTGCTTTCTCGTGTGAGCATATTTTACTCCTCCCTATAGCTTAGGTGAAAATAAGCTGGGTAAGGTAGCACAGGCTTGTAATCCCCCAGAAAAAGACTATTCACACTCATCCAGTATAATAACATAAAAACACCATTATGTTAGTATATGTGCCAGTTTTTCTCAAATCGTAGTCTTCAAAGTCAAAATGTTTCCTGTAACATTATCTGCCATTTGCAACATTTTTGTTTTTAAGTTTTTGAGACAAGGTCTCATGCAGCCCCAGCTGGCCTCCAAAGTGCTGGGATTTACAGGCATGTACAACCACATCCAGCTCCCATGTCACTTTTTTGAAAAACTAATGTGTATCTTAGGCATATACCCAAAAGATGCACATTCATGCAAGAAGCACATTTATTCAACCATGTTCATAGCAGCATTATTTGTAATAGCCAGACTTGGAAGCAACCTAGATGCCCCTCAACTGAGGAATGGATAAAGAAAATGTGGTACATTTACACAATGGAATACTCAGCAAAAAAAAAAAAAAAAGAATATTGAAATTCACAGGCAAATTGATGGAACTAGAAGAAATCATCCTGAGTGAGGTAACCCAGTCACAAAGAGAGGAACATGGTATGTACTCACTCATATATGGATTTTAGACATAGAGCAAAGGATCACCAGCCTAAAATCCACAAGACCAGAGAAGCTAGGAAACAAGGAGAGCTCTAAGAGAGCAGAAAGATTAATTGAGTTGAGGGAAGAATAGAGAGCAAGAAAGGAGATACCATAATAGAGGGAGCCATTATAGGCAGAAAGAGAAATCTCACACTAGAAAAATGTCCAGAGATCTACAAGGATGACCCCAACTAACAATATGAGCAATAGTGGAGAAGCTACCTTAAATGCCCTTCGCCAATAATGAGATTGATGAATAGTTTATATACCATCCTAGAGCCTTCATCCAGTAGCTAATGGAAACAGAAGCAGACACCCCACACTGAGCTGAACTCCTGGAATCCAGTTGTAGAGAGGGAAGAGTGATGAACAAAGGGGTCAAGACCAGGCTGGAGAAACCCACAGAAACAGCTGACCTGAACAAGCAGGAGCTCATGGACTCCAGATTGATAGCTGGGAAATAAGACCGACCCAGATTCCCTGAATGTGGGTGTTAGTTAGGAGGACTGGGCAATCTACGGGGGCCTCTGCTAGTGGATCAATATTAATCCCTTGTATACAAGTGGACTTTGGGAGCCCATTCCACATAGAGGGATACTCTCTTAGCCTAGACCCATGGAGGAGGGCCTAGGCCCTGCTCCAAATGATGTGACAGACTTTAAAGATCCACAATGGAAGGCCTCACCCTCCCTGGAGAGCAGAAAGGGAATGGGATAGGGGGTTGATGGAGGGGCAGGGGAGGAAGAGGGAACTGGGATTGACAAGTTAAAAAAAAAAACTTGTTTCTAATTTAAATTAAAAAAAAAAACTTCTAAACTTTAAGAAAAAAACTAATGTGTATAGTAATACCTCAGTTTGATAGGTTGGTAGGTAAAGATGGTAGACCCATATAAACAAAGGTTATTCAGGGACCTCAATACTTTTTTTTTTTTAAAGGTTGATTAATGTGGACAGGGTATCTGTGTGAGTGTGCACGCACAGGGGGAGTGCAACACAAACCTGTCCATGCGTATAAAGGCTGGAAGGCCTCAGGTGCACGCCTCCAGCACTCTCTGCCTTTACCTTTTCAACAGGGTCTCTCCCCGAACATGGGATTTGCATTTTCTTGATTCTGCTTCTGTTCTCCTCGGAGCTGGGGTACAGGCACCCATTTTCTTACATGAGTTCTGGCATCTGAACTGGGCTCCTCATAATTGCATAGCAAGCACTCTTAACCACGAATTCATCTCTTTCCAGCTCCTAGTGTCCTCTGTTTTATTTTTGTTTATGTGTATGGGTGTTTTGCCTGCTTACATGTACATCTGTTCACTACATGTGTACAGTTCCATTGAGACCAGAAGGGGCATTGGATCCCCTGGAACTGGAGTTATAGATGGTTATGAGCCACTACAGAGGTGCTAGGAATTGAACCCAGGTACTCTGGAAGAGTAGCCCATTGTCTTAAACATGGAACCATCTCTCCGGTCTTCCACTGGAGCATATATGGTCAGAAACAATTCAGGTTTGAAAATCAAAGTCCTCTACTGTAAAAGAAACCAAGCTCTTTTATCCCCATTAGTTCTTATGCATGGTCTTTGGCTAGATTTAGGATCCCAAGCAACACAAAATTGGCTTTTTGACAAAAGCATAAAAGTTTTGTTAATTTCACATGTGCCTGGGTGTCTTCACATGAGATTAGAGTCTGAAGAAATTCCCAAAGAATGGTATTTTTGTATTTCTTTTTTGTTTGTTTGTTTGTTTGTTTAGGTTTGTTTTGTTTTAAAACATTTTTATTTATTTAAATTAAAGACAATCTTATTTTACATACCAATCCCAATCCCCTCTTCCTCCTGTCCTCCCATAACCCCCAATCACACCCCCCACACCCCCCCAGGGAAGGTGAAATTTCCTGTGGGGGGTCATCAAAGTTCATCACATCATTTGGGGCAGGGCCTAGGTGCTCCCCTATGTATCTAGGCTGAGACAGTATCCATCCATAGGGAATGGGCTCCCAAAGTTCATTCATGCACTAGGGATAAATACTGGTTCCACTGTCAGAGACCCCATAGACTGCCTTGGTCTCCTAACTGACACCCACATTCAGGGGGCCTGCTTTGGTGCTATGCTGGTCCCCCAGTTGTCAGACTGGGGTCCATGAGCTCCCTCTTGTTCAGGTTAGCTGTTTCTGTGGGTTTCTCCAGCATGGTCTTGACCCCTTTGCTCATCCCTCATCCCTCTCCACAACTGGATTCCCGGAGTTCAGCTCAGTATTTAGCTGTGGGTGTCTGCTTCTGCTTCCATTAGCTACTAGGTGAAGGTTCTTTTATGGCATTTAAGGTAGTCATCAATCTCATTATTGGGGAAGGGCATGTAAGGTTGCCTCCCCACTCTTGCTTAGATTCTTAGTTGAGATCATTCTTGTGGATCCCTGAACATTTCCCTAGTGCCAGATTTCTCTTCAAACCTATAAATGTCTCTATTACGGTATCTCTTTTCTTACTTTTCTTCTCTTGACTCGATCTTCCTGACCCTTCATGTGCTCCTCTCCCCTTCTCTTTCTCCTACCTCCATCCCCCCTCCTCCTGTTCTCCCAATTTGCTGAGGAGGTCTTGTCCCTTTCCCCTTCTCCTGGTGTGCATGTATGTCTCACTTACCGTCCTTTTTTGCTTCCTAGCTTCTCTGGTAGGCTGGTTATCCTTTGCTCTATGTCTATGTCTTTTGTATTTCTTTCTCTCCCCCTCCCTCTTTGGTTATTTTGAGACAGGGTTTCTCTGTGTGACAGCCCTAGCTGTCCTGGAACTAGCTCTTTGGCCAGGCTGACCTCGAACTCACAGAGATCCTCCTCCCTCTGCCTACGGAGTGCTGGGACTGAAGGCATGCACCATCACTGCCCACTGTCTTTTGTATTTCTTGAACTAGAGCAATAACTTTTCTGAGACGAGGTCTGCCTGGCCTTGAGCTCACAGAGACGTGCCTGCAGTGCTGGGATGAAAGTCATGAGCCACCACGCTCAGCCTAAAAGCAAGAACTTCGTAAAGTGATTGGACA